CACCCACTTTCCCCTCCCCATCCCCAAACCAACACCCACTATCCCCTCCCCATCCCCAAACCAACACCCACCATCCCCAACACCCACCAGCTCCATCCCCACCACATAACCAACACCCACCATCCCCAACACCCACCAGCCCCATTCCGACACCCAAACCAACACGCACCATCCCCATTCCCACCACCTAATCAACACCAACCAGCCCTTCCCCTTACGAACATCCACAAACATAAACCGACATCCTCTCAGCACCCATAACGCCATCCGTTCCATGTATCAAACAATATGTTTAAGATATTTAGTGCAATACTAATTGTACAGTGGCCATGACAAGGATCAACTTAAACGTGTGTTTAGGTTTACGGATGCTCCCACCAGAGCCCACGGCCCAATACAGATTAAAAACTTAATGTAATTTACTTTCTCTCTTCGGGTTCTGTAAGTTTAGTGTTTCGGATAGTAAAGTCGCCAAGTGTCAGCTACAATGACCTCATTAAGTGTAGATAATGTATCGAGAAAGTACCATTAAACACAGGTTATTTGCAACATGGACATACAAAGAAGTCAGTTGAATTAACAAAAGACGAATCGAAAATTGTATTCATTATGCACACGTTCATATCTAGTATTAAAAACATCTGTATTTATCATTGGGTGTCCCTCGTAGTTTTCAACTTTTTAATATACACTAGTGTACACTTCTCTATTGGAAAATATAAAGGAAATATGTATGAAAAATAATATCGTTGGAAATATGATATTGTGGAGGCCGCGTAAGTCTCACTAGTGTACTTCCGGTAAATAAACCGCAACTACTACACACCGTCACATACTGTCAAAACACAACAACGATGCCACGGAACACTCGCCTTTCGATAATATACTTATAACAAATGGCCCTGAAATATTGAACAGTTACCTGAATTAAGCTGTCAAGGTAGATTGTTGACGGAGTAGGTATATATGTTTTGCGGTCGTGTTGGCGTACTCCCACTTCGACACCAGATTGGCCACAGCCCACCCGTTCCCACGACATGGGGTCTGTTTGGGTCACGTTATGCTTGGAAGTGCACAGGTACCAAATATCGGTTCCAATGAAATAACTACATTGTTAAATAGTAGGCTTTCTTTTCCTTCATGTCTCATTAGCGAAGTGATTATTTTTTTCACGGTCTCACTCCCCTGTCCTCGGTAGGGTCGGAAATGGCGGACATCCCCAGAAATTACCAACGTGTATCCGCCTACCTACGATGACAAGCAGAATCCGCCCGAACCAAACCCCGTTGACCAGGCCCCGGATCAATATTCATAATTAATACAACTGTGCGGCTCTGTCACCTACTTGTTTTTACTCAAAACAATAGCTGCAGTGTGATTATGTAACTTGTTTACGTTCGGAACACCTCCATTGTTCTCGATGTCCATCAGTCACCGCCTGAGAGTGGGAGTATTCGTCTTTTGCGTACTTTACAATTAATCAGAAGATATATCTATATATTTGTGTGACAGATGGTTAAGTCTTTTTTTTCCAGTCATATCATCAAAATACATTTTTGGTATGTAGACATAGAGAAATCGACATTTCCCGTGTTGTAGACCTACTGAAGTACCACAGTAGAGTGACGCTACGACGTAATTAGTTGGGGTGTCCATTTGATTCTGAGATGGGGAGAGCTATAGGCAGATATTGGAAATAAAAATTTTGGTAACGAGGAAATAAAATATATCGTTCTCGATTAAAAGTGCATCAATGATTGTTTTGAAAAAACCCATGAGAAGGTATATGTGAAAAATTATGCTTGTATCGCTCGTCACAACATTAGAGATTACTTAAAACTACATCAGGCATCCTTAACCAGGACACAGTAGATACATATGATGTGTATTTCAGGCAATGACAGTGAAGTGTTGTTAAAATATTAACAGTTTGTGACAGATACGAAAAAAACAAGCTGATGTCTTTTTTGTAATAAATAACTTACTTATGGTACTTTTTTTTTAGTTTTGATAATGTTTATCATTTTGCCAATTTATTGACATTCATACTTTCTAGAAGCCCACTGGAAATAAGTTAAAACTAATTATTCTGTCCTCTTTGAATGCCAGCACACCTCACTCCATTATTTTTGAGTATCGATTAAGAATTTTTCCATTTATGTGTCATTTCTCTGATGTTTAATGATGTAGGTATTTGGTGAACGTCAAAAGTAATAGATTTAAGCCACTGTAGCTTATGAGTGATTAGAGCGTGGTAAGTGAACACATGCTGTAATTCTACCATGTCAATATATCACGGTGACGTTCAGATGACGTCACACCAAGTAGCTACACGGCGGTCACTTTAGTTCCGCGTGTCGCCCTAATGAACATTTGATTGGACGCTAATTGGGACAGACCCATACTGGGCGGGGAGGGGGTGCAGTAGTTATGCCCACCACATGGCAAGGTCAGCAATGTGTTTAGGGGATAATGTTTACCTGACAAAATGACACTTTTCACCACCTAGCCATATTTATATAATATGCTGCTAACAACCGAATGGTAATGATAGATCTGTCTGATAGACATTTTCGGTTATATTTTTAATATTTGACGTACTATGAAGTAGGTTTCCGTCCAATAGGAAATTTCAGTGAATATTATTTGATGTCTATGACTTACGGTTACGGAACTAGTATACATACACGAGTCCATAAGTAAGTTACATGTACCAGGATTTTAAAATCATTTACCGGCCAATAGCTTTCAAGATGATACAGTAACGATAAATAGCTCGCAGTCGCAGCAGCATCCCACATGCACCAATCGAATGACTGGCATAGGAATAGCATTGACTGGCATAGGAATAGCATTGACTGGCATAGGAACAAAATTGACGGCTGACAAAAAGACACTACACGTGTATTTATACATATTCATTCTCGTCATTGTTCCCGACTTAGTTATATACTATCTATACATGGAAGCTTGCACCCTCCCTATTAGTCGACTTATTTTTGTCTACGTACGCCCTCTCCCCTTTGTGGAGACTCGTATTTGTTTGTTGTTGTTTTGTTGGGGGGAGGGGGGAGGGGAGGGGGTGCCAAGCAAACTATTGAGTGGCGTTTGTGGCTCCTTCATGTTTGAAGTTTGAAAATGGAGAAAAAAAAATGAAAAATGGTCTCTTCTGGAACTGGCCAACTGGCATCCCTTAGTCGCCAACTGGTTAAATGGCCTTATTATGCCGATTGGCCTTCAAACTATCAACAAGAGAGAGACAGATCCCTCTTTCTCAACTTCATTAATTAAATTATAAACCGAAGTTTGAACCCGTCCCAACTCGCGACTTGAGTTCTAATGTACATCTACATCGCAAATTACACATTTTCATATGTCTGAATGTTGAAAATGAAATATGACCGAGAAAATAAAAAAAACACGAAACCCCCCAACCCAACCCAACCTTTCATTGCCGAATTTCGTATTTGTAATAGGAGTTATATAATTTTAATTTAATGTGTCGATCTGTCATCTGTTATGACAGCAAGTGCACTAACATGTAGACCAGACTCAAAAACAAAAAGAATAAACAATAATTATTAGGGCTGCTTATGTCACGTGACCTATTTATGTAAGTCGCAAAACAGAACTGTTCCGGTTCCGCGTACATGTAGATGAGGAGGACCGACCAATCACAGTGTTTCTGCAGTACGTAATATTTACCTGTTGTTGAAGCGAGCTCTGAGTCACAGGTGTTTTAAGATGGGAACCTATTAATGAGATGCTAGTGTTAATTACACTCTACAGGTAGGCGCGGTTACCAGGCCAGTGTACAGCTGTTTAATGCCAGGTGTGGAGTAGATAGGATGCTAGATGTTAGGTACTTCTCTGATTATGTACATACGGGAAGGATACATATATATCTAGATTGTATAAATACATAATATATATGCGTAGAAAACAAATGTACAGTATGTAAATATCTAAGCTACGTTCATGCACATATTTAGGCAGATTAAACTATTTCTGTAGATAACTTATGTATCCAACTATTTATCTACTTTATTTACACATGTGTTTGTCTCAATTATATAATTATATGTATTGATCTGGATTGTGTAATGATATTTACTAATAACAGAAAATTCTGAAAAGACAGCACTGCTGTCCGGTTTCTGTGGCATACAACGATTATATACACTCATGTGATACAGTTACTTCACAATCGCTAACACTGTGTCTGCTTGCACAATATGTCAGGTCTAATGTGAGCAATACTTCAGGTCTAATGTGAGTAATACTTCAGGTCTAATGTCAGCA